AGATGTGTGTAAAGAAAGAAAGCCCTCGAGCTCCCAGCGTCAGATACAAGCACGCGACACTGCTAAAGAGTCAATAGCGTGATGTTTTCAAAAGTTAACAAGTAAAAGATACACAATAAATCAAACTTGTTCCACAAACATCAGCAACTTGACAACAATGAGCACATAAAACCGCAAAAAAATCCGTAAACGCCCGCAAAATAACCCCAGCCAAGCTTTTATCATAACTTTGTATTTGTACTTATTATTTTGTACTTATTTGCGTTCTTAAATAACCTCTATTCTACTTACCAGCTCTTTTCGTATGTCAGGCTTACACTGCCAGAGACAGTTGGCTACAGGCCCGTGTGAGTGTGTTGTGCGTTGGCTTTACAAACAGATGGATCATATTATCGCAGTGAAAATGGGAGCCGCATGCAGGTCTGGAACAGCAGCATCTACGATTTCTACAGCTCGCTCAAACATCCACCGATTCTCTCTACACAACCCTCGGTGGAGTTTAAGCGTGACCTTAGCTGTTCAAGCACATTTTAATGTTAGAACTAATATTCCTGTATCGTTTCCAGTGTTGCTCCAGCAGACAACCTGCTTGGAGAAAGAAAAAGACCTTGACACAACAACACAAAAAGAAAAAAAAGTCACACTTGTGCTCTAAACGCCTGTTTGGTTCTCGGGCGGTTTTCCCGTGAGAAAACAGTCGGAACAGCAAGCATGTTACTGAGTCGTCACATTCCCCCACACAGCCAGAGTATGTAACGCATTTCGAGAAATACCGAAACACAGACTCTGCTACACCCCCCCACACCAGATAATCACACACACACACACACACACACACAAGATCCTCACACACACACACACACCTCCCATTCCAGTGCTGTTATGCTAAGCCTCTAGCTGTGATGGGATAGCCTGTCAGCAGCAAAACTCATTCAGGGAGATTTTATATTAGTTACATTTTAAAGATATAAATCTAATGATATTCATTTTCCACTTCCCTTTTGTTTGTTTGTTATTGATGATACTGTGTGTAAAAGCCAAATGACACGAACAAACCGAACTGAATAAATGGACCATTTATAAAGAGTTTATAAGTAACTAATGGCTTTAATCATGGTTAATAATAATCATTGGCTGGTACTTTATAGATCACTTATTAGCCAGTAAGGAGGAAAAGACTTAACAACTTATTAAGCATTTTTTAATTTTATAACTGCATCACTACCAAAATAAAGGCTGAACACCAGCAAAAGGGGATTGTCACAACCTGGCAACCCCAAATGTGTTTTGTAACATTTGTTACAATAAACCCTTTATTTAACTTATAAGAAAGTGGTGTAAGTCCGGGTGTTCTAAAAAACCCCTTACTGAATGACCCGACAGGAAGGGTGATATTCTACACTTCCTCTCTCTCTCTCTCTCTCTCTGCATAAAGCACAACACATCTGTACCATCAACACATTCCCCCTCCAGTGCCTGGATTTTTGAAAAAGATGTAATTTCACCATTAACATAATTGAAGGCCAAAGATCTGGAGGCTGCAGAGCGGGTCTAATCCTGTCAGCGCAGCAGAGGAAGTGTAAGCTGCTGATGTGCCGTTTGACCTCATGTGCTCCTTCACCATGTGAAGTATTTACAGAGCAGCAGAGCCTCTGACCTGCTCCCCTCATCCCCCCTGCCGTCACCTGGCTCTTTTCAAGCGGCCTGACAGGAGGAACGCTCCGTCTGTCCACGCACTGCTTCCTCATGGAGCCACACACACACATTCCTCTGTCTCTGATTTCAGTCTTCATGACCTTTATTTCCTCACTACTCGCAGACAGCACACTCCTCTCTCTTTTTTAAAAGCTTTATTTACCCACGGGGCGGCCGACAGAGCAGCTCCCAGCAGCGGGGTCTGCTGGGAGGTTAAGTGCCTTGCTCGAGGGCAGCTTAGACAGTAGTTGTTGAAGGAGGAGGAAGAACATAACATATTCAGCTCGGAGCAGTGAACTACAGAAGCAGCGAAAAGTGGTGACAACTGAGAAAACTGGTTTTCAGGCTGACCGGATAACAGTGTAATACCTTCACTTGGTGTTTCTTAACTGCTAAATCTACATAAAAAAAGGAGATACTGCACTACTGCTTTTGGATGGTGTTCAATGGGAAATACAGTATCTACAAACAAAATGTGTTCTTTGAGTTTTCTTGTCTGTTTGAACTAGTTTGTGTGCTAGTGTCTATCTGCCAGACTACTTTAACACTTTAACTGATAACAATCTGAAATACCAAGATGCTGGCTCATCAACAGATCAAATGGATATTTATTACTTACAGATTACGGCTAGAGGATAGTAAGTTAAATTAATTATTAAAGATAATAATAAGTTATTTTAGCCTGTATAGCCTTCTATAGCCTGTAGCTATAAAACTAGCTAACTTTCACTCAATATAGCGTCAGCTTAAGCAGCCTGGTTGACTTTCTCTCTTTTACATTTCATGCTGTTCTTACAGAACGATTATACATTTGTTTGGCATAGCGATTGTTTCTATGTTACGGAAGGCAAGAAGTAAGATTCTGTCCTTTAATATAATATCTAGGCCTAGTTAAGTACTTTGGCATTTGGCAGATAGCGTTTCCTTCAGCGACACACACACACACTTCTACAAAGAGAGAGATGGTGAAACAAAGGAATGTGGTCACCTGGAAGGTAAATGAAAAAGCCTTCAGTGACCTCTGTCAGCTCTCTTCACCCAAACACACCCGACTCATATCTCTTTCTCTTATCAGCTGTCTTGTAAATGCATGTGTGTGTATGTGTGTGCATTTAGTTTCTACACAGGTTTATTTGACTAGCGAGGGCAAGCAGGCTCCAGGGTCAGGGTCATTCATTGTGTGTGTGTGTGTGTTATCAGGTCTGCTGTCTAGCGAGAGACAGAGTGTAAACACTGAGTAAAGCTCTGTTTACTCTCTTTCTGAAGTCTCTTTCATAGATTCTCCATTAGAACTCACTCAGATCGTCTACCAAGTGCTTTATCAGGACGGCAGAGTGGGTAAAGGAGACAGAAGATATTTATACAGAGCGTGGTCTTTCTTAAACAAATCGCTTTGGTTTGTTTCTTATGGTCTCCATTTGGTGGACATGTATCCAAAGCACCTTATAGCTCAATGACTGCATACACTTTACATATGAACTTTCAAGCCTGCTGTTTCACTCAAAGATTTAGCAGCAGAAATGGTGAGCAGAGGTGATAAATATCTTCAGCGTGTGTCCAATAAAAACATGTGATGAGGGATCAAAAAAGCCCCCAAAATATGTACTTAGGCACAACAGTGCTTTGTGTTAAATGCTCACAATGACAACTTTAACATGCTGATGTTTAGCAGGTGTAATGTTGATCATCTTCACCCTCTTGATTCAGCGTGTTAGCATGCTAACATTTGCTACAGCTGAGGCTGATGGGAATGTCATTAGTTTAGCATATACTGGGTCATAAACGAAGTGAGGCTATTCGACTAATTCAATTCAAAATTCAAATATAACCTGATGTCAGCAGAGGAGGAAAAGCTGGGATCACCAAAGTCACTGATTTCATCTCCTGGGGACAACAAATGTCTGTACAGCATTAATCTGCATTCCATTGAACACACTGCCATACCATGCTGCTGCCATTGATAGCCTACGCTAAGCAATGATAAAAATAAACAAACAAACAAACAACACGTAATTTACAGATTAATACAGATGTGTGTCCAAAAAAGCCTAAAGATAAATTGATTGATTAGCAATTATTTTAATTATTGAATTTTTCCATTTCTTAATAATGCACAATTTCCTGCTTTTCTTTGTATTATGTGATATTAAACTGAATATCTTTGGGGTTTTAGATTGTTGGTAAGACCAAACAAGTTATTTGAGTATGTAACCTTGGGTATAATGCAATGAGGATTTTGTACTATTGTCTGCCTTTTTAGAGATAAAACAATGAATCAATGAATCAAGAATCAAGAACATAACCATTAGCTGTAGCCCTTTTGTAAAGAGTCCCGTTTCTGACGAGGATACCTTCCTGTTTAAGTGTCTGTGTGTATAAACACAGAGGGGGAAGAGGGGTCTAGATGGAGAGTGAGTGCTAAGTGGATGTGATATTTTTCTCAGCCTCTACACAGCACTGTACTGTGGGTGGCAGAGACCTGGGGTTTTCAACTCAAACCTAAGGCTGAATCAGGCCCAAACAGCCATTTATAAACATAATGAATTAAAGCCGAACCTTTAATACGGTACAGTGATTCTGTGCATTCACACCACTGTGCAACTGTATGTTCAGTCTATAATAACAAACAAAGCTAGAGAAAATAAAATGTGGCAGAATTGAATACCCCATTCCAGTTCTTCTTTTATCGCCAATGCTGCTTCCCTGCAAACTGCTGTGGGCAGATTTACAGTAAGGCAGACCACGTCGCCGACCCAGGAAACACCAGGGGAGATTTTGTGGAGAAAGGTCTGTTTACCTTTGGGCAGAAAAACTCCACAGTCTGTGAGGTAAAATAAACTTTGTGTGTGTGTTTATGTATCAGAACTGTGCTCCTTTAAAGAGGTTATTGTTCTTTAGATTTCATAAGAGACCCAGGGAAAGAAAAACAAATACATGCAGTATCAATGTTTGTACATTTGTAGCAGATGTGTGCGTGTATCTGATTTTGCATGGTTGCACCAGAGAGACTGTTAGGAAATCAGCTTACGATGCTGGCCATAAAACATCCCACCCTTTATAAGTTAAACCTTCTGTGATGTGATGATGTGCTGACTCCTTTGACTTAACCAACACAGGTTAAAATATTTAGGTTGGAAAATACCAGTCCACATGGGATTAGAAAAGACAATAACTTTTAGTTACTCCAATGGTCTACACTGGCAATCACCATGTCCTCTTGCATGATAAATAGCTGTCATCTGAAGAGTAACGTGAGTGTCAATACCCTCTAGGTCAGATTATGGTTACTTCTATTACCCTAAACATCAATCATGGTTCCCAGTCTTTTTAAGAAATCATTTTCCAAGAGGTTTTCTTGACAGTACAAATCAGCACTTGCCCACAAACGGTCATTTAATTTATCAGCTGTGGTAGACCTATTGACACATACCAGTTTTATTTCTCCCTTTTTATTGATGTTGGGTTCATGATGAAGTGTCTCTGGTTCGTTATAGGTAGGTGGTCAGCATTTATAGGACGCTTTCATGGTGTGTTTAAAATAAAATGGCAAATTGTCATTGTATTGAACAAACATTATATAACGTGTTAATTAGTGAGCTTTAGAGGTGCTGCTAGGTGCATTTAGTTACCTTTAGACAGAGCCAGGCTAGATGTTTTCCCCCGTTTCCAGTCTCTGTGCTAAGCTAGGCTAATGTCTTGTGGCTGTAGCTTTATATCCAATGGATAGATATGAGAGTGGTATTGAACCACAGTGCTGTAGGATGAGCTGTTGTGCCTTTATCAGACGTTTCATCAACTTTGCCAAGTAAAACTTGAAAACGTTCACATTCTTTCCCACACATAAAAGGCTTCTTTTAACACTTAAAAAGACATCATAACCTCCTCTTTCCTTGGCTGTGGTATTATCTCTGTCCCAGTTTCAGGTCACTCTTCCTGTTATCACCTGCCTATCGCGCAGTCCCCTGCATTCCTCTTAGCTGCAGGGTTCCTCTTGTCTTCTCCATTGCTCTGAGCAGTCAGTTGAAATGGTAGTAATCTATTCCTTCCTTTAGCTGCAAAGAGTTGAGGTTTTCCTCCAGAATGCCTCCAGTCATGTCCTACAGATAAAACATGAGAGAAAGATGAGGAACAGAAAACCTTTCACTCAAAAAAACATTATAAGAAGTATAATTCCTTCTTGTCTTGAGTGCCCTCTGCTGTGTGTCTTAACTGTACTAAAGTAACGTCGAAGGTTATTTAGAGGCTAAAGAGATTCAGCCATGGAAAATGTACAAAGTTCAAATGATCTGTATATTTGCTGATTATAGTTATTTAACATCTGGGTATAAAAAACATGTCTGATTGAGGCCAGGTGTTTATGTGAGTGTGTGTGTGATTGAGTCCAGGTCTCCTTGTCCTCTGACTATGATTACTTCTCCCAATTCCCATAATTGAGCAATTAGTAGCCCCCGTAGGTGGGGTCACTCTGGATTTGATGTCTGAATCTGGCTAGGTGGTAAATAGGCTATTAGTGATTTGGCTGACAGGACAGCTATATGTTTGTGCATGTTAAAATAATAATAAAAAGAGAATGTCATTGTCTTATATGCAATATTGCAAAAGTGAAGACTATTGCTGAAATTACAAAGCGTACAAAATGGACAGTAGCAAAGACATCCGATGTTTGTACAAGCATCATGTGATCAAAGATCAGGCTGCTGTCTCTACCCATTTCCTGACTGCCTTCTGTGTGTGTGTGTGTTATGTCCTGTGCCGGGCACACGCCCTTGATCATTATGTCGTTAACTTAGATTACAGACCTGAGGGACAGGCGGTCAGAAACAGCAAACATACAACACACAAACACGCTTTCTGCTCACCAGTTTAACACAGATAATGAAAGGGGCGGAGGCGTCTTTGTAGTGTACAACTGGGATTTTTGGCTTAGGTCTTTGCTGGAGGGATATCAACAGAAAGAGAGACACGTAAACCACATAAAGCGATTGGGTGAACCTTCATTTGAATAATATCTTATAAACTAATATCCTAGCCCTGTTTACACTGAATCACAATAAACCTGCTGTACTTGGTATCCACAGTGGCTGATCTCACCTCAGATTCCTCATATGTGTAAAAGCCTTTCTGGATCTTGTTCTCATCGACATCACAGAAAGCCTTCACCTGATAAATGAATCAGAGTGATGATGAAAGAAAAGGTGGAAAAAAAAAATGTTGCTAATGTCTCCCATCCCACTAGCTGGAGATGACGTACCTTCCTCTGATTGGTCGGGCTGAGGTAGCGGTACAGCTTCCTGCCCTGTTTCCCAGCGTTCCATATGGTGAAGCTCTCCCATTGGCTGAGAACTCTCTCCTGCAGGAAGTCCACTCGCAGCTTCCAAATAGTTTCCCTGGAAACAGAGGAGACGAGCAGTGGATCAGAGGATGGACACAGTAGTGGGCAACGTTAGTCTGTCTGTGGGTCTAAATGGAGACTGTCTCATTTAGTGTGAAATATACAGATACACTGTATGTGGTATATAATATGCACTTCTATTCCTATATCCTAGTTTGGTTTTTGAGGTGACTTACATGGAAACTAATTTGGAGGAGAAGATTTAGCCAAAAGTTCAAATTATTACCCAAACTGCCCATTGTGAACACATAACATATCACATAAGTTTGACTGACTATACTTGCTATAGTTGTATATGAACAAATCATTATTACAGACATTTTAGTTTCAGTTTTAGCTCCAAATGAAGTGGTTTAGTTAATTACACTAAAATCTTGTTTAGTGTACTGCCTGTTGTGATTTTTGCTTGTCAGACTTTGTTTAGGTGAAGTTCCCAGATCTCAACAGAAACTCTGACGATCTAAATGTTATCACAACTGAAAGAAATTAAAGATAAAACTACAAAAATAAGACCCAAACTGTAATAAATCCGAATAATCCTTACCGTACCAGACCATAATCTCCTAATTTTTCAAAAGCATTCCTTGCATTTAATAAAAAATACAGACTTATTTTTCAAGATAGAAAAATTGCGCCTGTTTTAAATTAGCTTGTTTTCCTGTTGCCTGCACCTTGACTGATATGCACAGCTGTGCACAGGCCCCTCTCTCTCACACACACAC